CATCTCAATAGATACAGAAAACACCTTCGATAAGATCCAACACCATTTCATGATAAAAACTCTAAGAAAACTAGGAATAGAAGGAAAGTACCTCAACATTATAAAAGCTATATATGACTAACCGACAGCCAGCATTATACTTAATGGAGAAAAACTGAAACCATTCCCTCTAAAATCAGGAACCAGACAAGGTTGCCCACTATCTCCATTTCTTATTCAACATAGTACTGGAATTCCTAGCCAGAGCAATTAGGCAAGAAGAAGGAATAAAAGGAATACAAATAGGTAAAGAAACTGTCAAAATATCCCTATTTGCAGACGACATGATCCTATACCTTAAAGACCCAAAAAACTCTACTCAGAAGCTTCTAGACACCATCAATAGCTACAGCAAGGTAGCAGGATATAAAAACAACAAAGAAAAATCATTAGCATTTCTATACACTAATAATGAACAAACTGAGAAAGAATATATGAAAACAATTCCATTTACAATAGCCTCAAAAAAAAAATCAAATACCTAGGTGTAAACCTAACAAAGGATGTGAACAACCTTTACAAGGAAAACTATACACTTTTGAAGAAAGAGATTGAGGAAGTCTATAGAAAGTGGAGAGATCTCCCATGCTCATGGATTGGTAGAATCAACAGAGTAAAAATGTCTATACTCCCAAAAGAGTATAAAAAAAATCTGCCATTAAATTTATATGGAAACACAAGAGGCCACAAATAGCGAGAGCAATACTCAGTCAAAAGAACAATGCTAGAGGTATCACGATACCTGACTTCAAACTATATTACAAAGCAATAACAATAAAAACAGCATGGTACTGGCACAAAAACAGACAGGAAGACCAGTGGAACAGAAGAGAGGACCCAGATATGAAGCCACACAACTATAACCAACTTGTCTTTGACAAAGGCACTAAAAATAGACGATGGAGAAAAAGCAGCCTCTTCAACAAATACTGCTGGAAAAACTGGTTAGCAGTCTGCAAAAAACTGAAAATAGATCCATGTTTATCACCCTATACCAAGATTAACTCAAAATGGATCAAGGACCTTAATATCAGACCACAAATTCTAAAGGTGATACAGGAAAGAGTAGGAAATACTCTGGAGTTAGTAGGTACAGGTAAGAACTTTCTCAATGGAACCCCAGCAGCACAGCAACTAAGAAACAGTATAGATAAATGGGACTTCATAAACCTAAAAAGCTTATGCTTAACAAAAGAAATGGTCTCTAAACTGAGGAGAACACCCACAGAATGGGAGAAAATATTTGCCAGCTACACATCAGACAAAGGACTGATAACCAGAATATACAGGGAACTTTAAAAACTAAATTCACACAAAACTAATGAGCCAATAAAGAAATGGGCAAGTGAACTAAACAGAACTTTCTCAAAAGAAGAAATTCAAATGGCCAAAAAACACATGAAAAAATGCTCACCATCTCTAGCAATAAAGGATATGCAAATTAAAACCACACTAAGATTTCACCTCACCCCTGTTAGAATAGCCATCATTAGCAACACCACCAACAACAGGTGTTGGCGAGGATGCGGGGGAAAAAAGGAACACTCTTACACTGTTGGTGGGAATGTAAACTAGTACAACCACTCTGGAAAAAAATTTGGAGGCTACTTAAAAAGCTAGACATTGATCTACCATTTGATCCAGCAATACCACTCCTGGGGATATACCCAAAAGACTGTGACACAGGTTACTCCAGAGGCACCTGCACACCCATGTTTATTGCGGCACTATTCACAATAGCCAAGTTATGGAAACAGCCAAGATGCCCCACTACTGACGAATGGATCAAGAAAATGTGGTATCTATACACAATGGAATTTTATGCAGCCATGAAGAAGAACAAAATGTTATCATTCGCTGGGAAATGGATGGAATTGGAGAACATCATTCTGAGTGAGGTTAGCCTGGCTCAAAAGACCAAAAATCGTATGTTCACCCCCATATGCGGACATTAGATCAAGGGCAAACACAACAAGGGGAGTGGACTATGATCACATGATAAAAGCGAGAGCACACAAAGGTTATATGAGGATAGGTAAAGACACCTAAAAAATTAGTTAGCATTTGTTGCCCTCAACACAGAGAAACTAAAGCAGATACCTTAAAAGCAACTGAGGCCAATAGGAGAAGGGGACCAGGAACTAAAGAAAAGGTTAGATCAAGAAGAATTAACCTAGAAGGTAACACACATGCACAGGAAATGAATGTGAGTCAACTCCCTGTATAGCTATCCTTATCTCAACTAGCAAAAACCCTTGTTCCTTCCTATTATTTCTTATACTCTCTCTTCAACAAAATTAGAGATAAAGGCAAAATAGTTTTGCCGGGTATCGAGGGGGTGGGGGGGAGAGGGAGTGGGCAGCGTGGGTGGTATGAGATGGGTGGGAGCAGGGGGGAGAAATGACCCAAGTATTGTATGCACATATGAATAGTAAAGCAATAAAAAAATTTTTTAAAAAAAGACCAAAAATCATATGTTCTCCCTCATGCAGATATTAGACCAAGGGCAAACACAACAAGGGGATTGGACTATGATCACATGATAAAAGCGAGAGCACACAAGGGAGGGGTGAGCATAGGTAAGACACCCAAAAAACTAGATAGCATTTGTTGCCCTCAACACAGAGAAACTAAAGCAGATACTTTAAAGCAACTGAGGCCAATAGAAGAAGGGGACCAGGAGCTAGAGAAAAGGTTAGTTCTAGAAGAATTAACTTAGAAGTTATCACACATGCACAGGAAATCAATGCGAATCAACTCCCTGTATAGCTATCCTTATCTCAACTAGCAAAAACCCTTGGTCCTTCCTATTATTGCTTACACTCTCTCTTCAACAAAATTAGAGATAAGGGCAGAATAGTTTTTTTTCTGCCAGGTAGCAAGGCGGGGGGGAATGACCCAAACATGTGTGCACATATGAATAAAATAAAAATTTTTTTTAAATATCTAACTGGAACTCAGCTATTCCTTACAAATCCAGAATAAAAACAGTTGAGCTATTGAGAGGGCTCCATCAGATAATTCTATAAAGCACTTTGCTCTGCACAGAAGGAAGAAGAGATAATAATACACAATAAAAACACAAAGGAGCACATTCTCTGTAAGTTTTTACATTTCAGCTATATTGAAAGTCTGTCAACTTCCTTTCACCAAGTGCACCATGTACCTATTCAAAGGCATATTCTGAAGAAAAACAAAAAAATAGTATAACTAGTGTTTTAAGTAAGTGTAATCTGATTACTCTTAAGTACAAATTATCCCTTGAAATATCAAAGTAGCCATGCAGGGTTGCATTCATTGAACTACCTAACACTGGAGATGGAGACTGACAGATGGTAACAGAATACCACAGACAATTTATGCCAGTAAGTGATTAGGTAAAACTGCATCTCCATTCTCGTTTAATAACAGTATACTTATAAAAGAATCCTGAAAGAGTTTAAATGCTATTAAGCTCTATCTATAATTAAAGTTTCACATTGTTCCCAATGAGACTGAAAGAATGAAGGTCTATTAATGCATTTCCAAAAAATTCAACAAGGTTTCAAATTAACAAAACACAAATTTTTGTATTCCTTTGGAGTAGGCAGAACGTTTGATAGTAAGAGTGTAGCATAGAGATGTAAGAGTCTTCAAGTACTTCCTATCATATGCTTACCATGTCAAATATACTCTTTTTCAAAAAGATATCCTCTGACTCATCCAAAGATGCAATCCCACTCACCCCCATCCAGGGAATTTTAGACAACTGTTCTTGGCTGGTCTATTAGGCTTGGTTTGGCATTTGTCAGATTACTGTTTTAGTCTAGGACGTGAACTACCATATCAGAAATAATAATTGTGATGGTTTTAAATAGATCCACAAAATCTTTTATCACCCTCCCTTCCAGGAAGAGAATAGCACTGGACAGGGTGCGTCACGCCTTTCATCCCAACTCATCAGCAGATGGAGCTCAGAATGATTGTGGTTTGAGGCCAGCCCTGACAAAAGTAAGTAAGCTCCCATCTCAACAAAACCTACATAAAAAAAGGTGGGCGTGGTTATAAGGTCAAAACACAAAACCCTATTGCAAAAATAATGAAAGCAAAAAAGGGCTGGAGCCTAGAAGCACAAAGCCCTGAGTTCAAACCCTCACAGCCAAAAAAAATGAACTTCCTTATCTCCCCTTCAGTGTAGGCTGCACTTAGCAATTAATTTGGATCAAACAGAAATATGGCAGAAGTGATACTGGGTCACTTCTAAAATAGGTCATAAGAAGACATTGGGGTTTCTCTAACTTACTAATATTCTCTTCAAATCCTATTCTCTGGAAGAAGCAGCTACCAGGACATGAGGAGCAGTCACATGACACGAATTGAGGAGTCCCGCCAGCAATCTCAGAAGGGAGCACTTCTAAGCGGCTCTTCCACCACAGCCAAAAGCTCAGATGATAGCAGCCTCAAACAACACCTTGACTGCCAACTCTCGTGATACCCGAACCAGAACTACTCAGCTAAGCCACTCACAGATTCCCGACCTTCACAGGCAAGAATTGATTTACATGGCTAAAATTGGGGAGTTTGTCACACAGCAATAGAAAACTAATGCAATAATGAATAATCCAATTTTTTTCAAGGTTTTCTTTTGAAATTACTAATGTTCATATAACTTAAGGCTTAAAGATTATCACACAAAGAAAATTCTGCCTAACAAAAATGAATTGTGTAGAATCAAAACTCGTGCCAAATAAAAGGAAGACCCACTTTTAGCTATTATGAGATAATAAAATGTCCAATGATCTCTTTAACAGTAACCTAATATTAATAGGCAAACACCTAAAGAACAGAAAATGAGTACTAAAAGAAATTATACAGGAGATTTGTGCTTTTCATTCATTACAAGCTTCTCAGTCTACTTGGTTTCTTATCATGTTCACATATATCTTTGCGAGAAATACAAATAACAAACTGAACCAACTCACTTGCCACTGTTGGCTAGCTGCCTGAACTCCTTCACGGTCATGGCTTTTTTCTGGATGTTGTATTGAGTAAACAGTCCTGACTGTCCTGTGACCATCTGCTGAATCGGGGCTGGAATAAGCAAATTATCAATGTCATCATAGCACTGTCTTGGCTTCCACTCCTTAGGAGGAATCACCTAAAAATAAAATAGGAAAACAATATCTTGCAAATATTCCAAGTAATTATTTAGCTTTTATATTCCAACAGAATATAGCTAAACAACTTCTCAGCCTCTTTTTAACAGATCTTTATACAAAAAAAAAAGATTTCCAATAAATAAATATGATTTTAACAGCAAAGTTTATTGAGTACTTATTATAGCCAATACTATACTTGCGTTAACTTATTTTTCAGCTGGTACTATTAATATCTTGATTTTAACCATAAAATTTAAAGACACCCAGAAGTAAATAACTTGATGGAGTTCAAATGACTGAAGACTAGCTGAGCTAAAATTCAAATTGAAACAGACTGATACTGGAATTCACAGTTATTATGTTATCCTGTCTCTCAACAGAAGATGAAAACAGGTTTATATCAATCACTTTTTTCCTTAAAAAAGTTCATCTTTATTAAATTTTATCTAAACACTTAACTCTGTGCTATTTATGCTAAATGAGAAAAATAAGTAAATATTTATATAGTCAATATTATTTTCTTCATAGACCTCTATGAAATGTGGCAAACAGCATAGTAACAGCCAGCAAATACTTGAAAACCAGCTTTCTGGGAAGATGGGGAAATTTTGTTTCAGAGCTTGTGTTTATTTCCATGGTGTACCTACTTCCACCATGACCACTTTGAACTACCAATGCAATAACACTGAGCATGAAGCTGGGAAGAGATGTGTACTAAGCCAAGCATGGTGGCCCACATCTGTAATCTCAGCACTCTGGAGGCTGAGGCAGGAGGATCACAAGTTCAAGACCAAGCTGGGCTACATAGTCAGTTCCAGACCAGCCTGCACTACATAGTGAGAACTTGACTCAAAAAAGATAAAAAGTTATGTACCATCAACTTCATGGACCAACACATCACTGCTTTCCCAAAGTATTTGTTGTCTTTTTGTCAGTGCTGGGACTCGAACCCAGTATATACTAGGCAAGCACTCTGCCACTGAGCTACATCCCAGCTGTTTTCCCATAGTATTTGAATACTTAATTACTAAAAGTGAAAAGATTCAGAAACATAAAGACATATTCATACATATTCATACTTTTTTTTAGCAGTACTGGAATTTAAACTCAGTGCTTCACACTTGCTAGACAGGAGATCTAGCACTTGAGCCACACCTCTATCCCTTTTGTGCTTTAGTTATTTTTCAGGTAGGGTCTCACATTTTTGCCTGAGGCTGGTTTCCAACTACGATCCTCCTATCTACAGCCTCCTACACTGGAGCATAGCTGGGACGATGCATGCCCAGCATGTTGGTTGAGATGAAGGTCTTGCTAACTTTTTACCCAGGCTAGCCTCAAACCATGGTCCTCCTGATCTCCACTTCTAAGTATCTGTGATTACAGGTATGAGCTATCTCACCCAGCTGTCCCTACTTATTTTAAATGGTATGACTGGCCAGGCATGGTGGCTCACACCTGTAATCCCAGCTAACTGAGAGGCAAAGATCAGGAGAATCTTAGTTCAACACCAGCAGAGGCAAAAAAGTTAGTGAGATCCTATCTCAAAGAACAAAGTGGATCCACCAGCTCATGCCTATAAAAACAGCTACTAGGAAGGCGGAGCCAGGTGGATCAAGGTCTGAAGCCCATCCAGCCAAAAAGTAAGTGGCCTTCTCTGAAAAATAAAATCAAAAGGCTGGAGGCATTCCTCAAGTGGTAGAGACCTTGCCAGTGAGTGGAAGGCCCTAAGTTTAAACACCAGTGCCACCAAGAAAAACAAAAATGAGAAAGGACAAAGTCATGAAATTATGATTTCCACCATAGAAGCAACTTAAATTTTCACCAGCCACCAGTGGCTCACGCCTATAATCCTAGCTACTCAGGAGGCAGAGATTAAGAGGATCGTAGTTTAAAGCCAGCCAGGGCAAACAGCTAGCAAGACCCTGTCAGGCAAATAGTTGGTGAGACCCTATCTCAAAAATACCCAACATGGCCAGCCACCAGTGGCTCACACCTATAATCCTAGCTACTCAGGAGGCAGAGATCAGGAGGAGATCAGGAGAGATCTTGCAAAACAATTTGTGAGAACCTATCTCAAAAAAAAAACCCTATCACAAAAAATTGGGCTGACGGAGTGGCTCAAGGTGAAGGCCCTGAGATCAACGCCAGTACCACAAAAATAAAGAAAGAAAGAAAAGAAAAGAAAATTTTCTAAGACACACTTTTTTTAATTTGGTTTGGCTATTTTTGTTTTGTTTGGTTCAGTTTTTTGAGACAGGATACAATATGTAGCCAAGACTGGCCTGGAACTATGTAACCCAGACTAGCCTTGAACTCATGATCCTCCTCCTTCAGACTCCCAAGTACAGGGGTTATAGGGATATGTCATCATGCCTAGCTAAGACAAACTTTAAAACATTTCAAAATAAAAAATATAGCATTCTCACAGAAATGCAAATGATGAATATATAGCTCTATGAGTTATTAGAAAGCAAACACCAGAATATTGCTGGCACCCCAGAAACCTTCAAAGCACACTTTCCAACATCCCCTCCTTGCCCAATTACGCAACCTCTACCACGGTGGTTATGGCAATCCCTTACTGGGCTTCGTTTTATGTGTGGATGTGCATTGCAAAACACTAGTATTTAACATGTGTATATATATATATATATATACACACAATAATGCAGTGTATAGTCCTGAAGTTTGCCTTCTGTGTTTCACTCATAATTGTGGAATGTAAATATGATGCCCTATGCAGCTGAAGTTCATGGATTTTCACCCCTACTCAGCATTTCTCATGTCAATACCCATCTACTCATAAATTGGTAATCACTGGTATTTTCTGGGTTTTTCTAATTGCTGACTATTGCAAACAATGCTATTAATATTCTTCAATGCATCTCTGGTTCTTTAAAATACATAAATACAAAAAAATTAAAAATAAAAAAATACATAACTATGTGGACACCCTAACATGTGGATACATGTGGTTCAAATTTGAAATTGCCTAACTTTTGCCAAATTGGTTGTACCAATTCACAAATCTACTAGCAACATATCAGACTTGTACTTCCTCCACATCTTCATGATCACTTTGACCTGAATTTTAACCTTTGTTAGCTGTGTAATTATACCTAAGCATAGATTTTATTTGTATTTTCCTGGTAACATTTTCATATGTTCACTGATCCTATTGACATTGTCTTGTAAGAAATACTCATCAGAACTCTTGGCCATTTTACTATTGTACTATTGGTCTTTGTCTTATCAATGGTAAGGGCCTTATATATTCTAACTACTCTTAGATGTGCACACATACATATGCAGAGAGAGACTATCCTGAAACCTGCCACCCAACCTTTTCTTTTTGTTGTTGTGTTTTTGGTTTGGGTTTTTTTGTTTTGTTTTTGGAGACAGGGTCTCAGTATGTAGTCCTGGCTATCCTGGAATTCAGTATGTAGCCCAAGCAGGTCTTGAACTTGCTATCCTCCTGCATCAGCCTTCCAAATACTGGGATTATAGAAGTGTACACACATCCAGCTTTTTTTAAGAGAAAAAGAATATGATATAAAATGGATCCCTACTATCTATCTTGAGCTTTCCAATAATATACATTTGTTCACTTACTTTTGATTAAAGAATTCAGGAAGAATATGTTTTTAAAATGATAGGTTTAGGCCTAGTTTTAAAAAGTGTTACTTGGGTCTGGGCACTGTGGGTCATGGCTATGATCCTAGTTACTTGGGAGGCTCAGATCAGGAGCTTGTGGTTTGAGGCCAGCCTAAAAACTTCATAAGACTCCCATCTTATCAAAGCTAGGACCAGTGGCTCCCACCTGTCAACTTAAGCTACACAGGAGGCTGACAGGAGGATCACAGTTCCAGGGCAGCTCAGGCAAAAAAGTTCAAAAGACCCCACTGAAAAGAACAAAAAAAGCTGGGCATAATGGTGCCCACTTGTCATCCCAACCACAGTAGGAAGCAAAAAGTGGGACCACAGTCTAGGCTGGCCTGAGCAAAAGCAAGACCCTATCTCCAAAATTAGCAGAAAGAACTAGAGGGGTGGCTCAAGTGGTAGAGGCTGCCTAGCAATCACAAAGCCCTGAGCGCAAACCCCAGTACCAAAAAAAAAAATGTTATTTGGGGACTAAGGGATAGGCTGAAGGGCAGAGTACCTGCCTAGCACGTGCAAGGTCCTGAGTTCAAACCCCAGTACTGCCAAAAAGAAATCTTATTTTTGAAGCATAATTTTAAATCTTTAAACATCAGATTTTCTAATATAGGAAATGGACTCAAGTACAACATATTTAGCTTATTTGCTCGTTTTTGTTTTTTGAGAAAGGGTCTCACTATGTATCAGGTTAGCCTGGAGCTCGCTGTCTTCCTGCCTTAGCCTCCAGAGTGCTGGGCTTATAGGCATGCCCCACCACACCTCCCTTCAACATACTTTCAAAGATCCCATAGCTATCCTTTTATATTTAATCAATCTCAATTAGGGAATCTATTCCTCTTAAGTCTACCTTCCCAATTGTATCAAAACAGACTACACATCTTATATCACTATTTAGTCAAACCCACACTGGCCCCTATTCTTCATGGAACTTACCGTTAAGATACGTATTTGTAGTACATATCTTGAAATAAACTACCACCTACATACTGACAAAGGGGCAAGAAGAAGAAAAGCAGTGCTTTTACTATCTTTCTTCATCTTGTGGGCAAAGGTAACTATGTGTATTCCTTGTGCTGTTTATAAAGCTACATAATGTACATAAATGATAGCCCAGGGCAATCTATGTCCAGATTACTATTGAGGACAAACTTCATTTCTTAAAAAAGAAGTTGAGCATAATCTTCCTTTAATAAAACAAGTGTTACATTTAACGAGACTAACGCATTCTTTTCACTTTCAACTGTGCAGACAGAATCAAGGTATCAAACCTTTGACTCTAGAAATAAAAGTTAAACCCAACTGTAAATGTAAAAAATATCTGATTAGAGAAAAAACAAAACAAAAGAGCTGACGATATAGCTCAAGTAGTAGAGCACCTGCCTAGCAAGCACAAAGCCCTGAATTCAAACCCCAGTGCTGAGAAAAAAAAAAAAACACTAATCTCAGACCAAAAATCACTACTAATATAACTATATAATCACTGTCTTCAAATATATTAAATGTTGTCAGTAATACATTAACAACTTCATAGCAGGTCAGGGCTATCCCCAAAGCAAACAGGCCACTATCAATTCTGTCTTGATTTTTCAATACAGGATTTGACTTGGTGTGGTTTTGTGCAACTTCCAGAACAGGGAGGAAACTAGGAGCCAGACACTTGTGGCTCATACCTATAGAACTAGCTAGTTAGGAAGCTGAGACAGGGAGGATCAAGGTTCGAAGCCAGCCCAGGCAAAAGTTTGTGAGACACCCCCCCAACCACCACCACCCGCACCACCCCGCCATCTCCAAAATAACCAAAGTAAAATGGACTGGAGATGTGGCTGAAGTGGCAGAGGCCAGCTTTGCAGGCGGGAATCCCTTATTTCAAACCCATCCTACCAAAAAAAAAAAAAAAATGAGAGAGAGAGAAGGGAACTAGGTAAAATTGAGTTTGTGTGACTTGACATAAAAGATGGCAAAAAAAAAAAAGATTAGGAACAAATAGTTTGCTGTGTTCCTAGTACAAATAATAGGAAATTATTATAGGAATGATTAATCTCCAAGTTTGTCAGTGACTCTCACTTTAGTGGTAGGTTTCTGGACTCAGGTGTGTCTTATAATTATAGGGCTCATTAACTTTATTCTGTTACATAATACCAGGAGTGGCACAGGTGTACTGTGTGTGCCTACAGCTCCCTTGTGAGGGTAGCTGCTGCTTCCTCTTCTAAAGTTACTAAACATGTCACCCTACCACCAGACAATATACTAATCTCAGTGGAACACAATATATGTTTTCAAGAAACAAGAGGAGAAGGCAAGACAAAGGGCTGTATTCAGAGACCAAAGAAGTAGAGAAAAGGCATCCCCAACTGCCCTCTACCCAAATTCTTACTAATCCATTATAAGTTCATGAATAAAAATGTGTTTCCAATGATTCTGACATAACACATTCTCTTCAACCAAAGTCTGAAGTTTCCTTCAAAGATAACCTAGAGGTGCTGAGATGCCAAAAATGAGAATTTATAAGTGCTATCCCAATAACAAACTAAATTAAGGATAGCTAGCTGAGAAATTCATTATAAATCTTTACTGTCTCTTTGTTTCTATTTTCTCCTTTTTTCAATTTTCACACTCAATTTAATATACTTAAATTTTAAACTTTTTCTAGAAGGGACTTTGAGCCTCCTAGCATTTTGCCAGCATCAGTGAAGAAATGCATTACAAGTAGCATCAGATTCAGATGAGAAGGACCTACAGAACCTGAACTCTAATCCCTGTGGTTCCAGAAGTACTCTGCTCTCCATGCTATTTGACATTCACAGCAGAGAATGAGAGTCAAGGAGAACCCTCGGCACAGATGTAGTCAAGTGGTTCAGCCCAACAGCAGGCTCGGCCAGAGCTCAGGCATTTATGTGATGATACTAGCAAGTCCATAGAGGCCCAAACTTTAAACTTATCATGTAGAACAACAAACTAAAGTACAATAAAATTTATTTTTTTCTAGGGAACATTTTAAATTAAAGTACATTTCTCTTATAGGAAAGACAAAGCATCTCCTGTTACAGGTTGAAGGATGAGTTTCACAGATAATCTCTCTTTCAAAGCCCTAACTGTGGACTTACAGGCCCGAAAGTACAATGCAGGTGTCAGTACCATGCTATGATTCAAAGCATCATTTTGATGATCATCTAGCATCATTTTTTCAAGAATACTATCTGCACCTATAAGAACAAGAAAAGTGTTTTCAAACACATCTAAACCAAAGTCTACTTCTCCCCTTCTTCACTGGTTTAGGTTACCATCATGTCCACACAACTACCCCAGACAAGAACACTGCATGTGCTCTGCTCCCCACACCAAATTCATTCTTCACATAGAAGCCATCATGATAACGTTTCAAAAACCGTCACAAAACAACAAAAGGAATACATAAGCAAACAGCCACCCTACTTCAAGCCCACCAGTGCTATTTGCTGTCCTTAGCGTAAAACCCCAGATGCTTTACTATGGTTGAAATAAGCCAGATGCCATTTGGCCCCTTCCTCACCTTACTCACAATCTCCTACTGACCTCACTGAGTCGGCGTTCAGTGACCATCTTCCTATCCCTCCCACACATGAAGTTCAGGCCAGCTGCCAAGCCTCTGGACTTGCTATTCTTTCTGTAGCAACATCTTGAGAAGGTTGCTTTTTATCCTTTAGGTCTCTGCTAAAAATGTCCTAATCTCATCACTCTAATATGCTATCACTAAAATATAAGGTGCATGGGGACAGGTACTTGATCTATTCTGTCCCTCGACCAACTGTGTGACAACAGCAGGCACTCTCTTCTTATTTGCTGGCTAAATAAACTAAAATGAAAATGGAATAGGCTAATCTGTAGAGAAATTGGCCGGGGTTGGTGGGGGGGGGTGGTTAGAGTGGATAGGGAATGGGAAAGGTCTATTTAATGGGTACAGAATTTCTTTTTCTGGTGATGAAAATGTTCTGGAATTCAGCAGTGGTGGTGGCTACATAACTCTGTGAATGTACTACAAACCAATGAAATAGAAACTTAAAATTAGGTGTATTGTATCATACATAAATTATACCTCAAAAAATTCTATATCAACAAAATAAAATGACCTGTGTGCTGATGGTTCACAACTGTAATCCTGGCTACTTGGGAGGCTAAGATCAGGAGAATCAGTTCAAAACCAGTCCAGGTAAAAAGTTTGCAAGACCCTGTCTCCAAAAATAACCAGAGCAAAATGGACTGGAGGTGTGACTCCAGCAGGAAGTACCTGCTTTGCAAGCATGAAGCCCTCAGTTCAGACCCCAGTCCCATCAGAGGAAAACAGAAAAATAAGAAGGGACAAGGCAAGGAAGAGAAAGAAGAGAAATAGTAGTAAGCTTCTGTTTAAAAATTGTCTTCTGTGAAAATTAGGAATACTCTCTTGCCTCTGAAACTCACACATGGACTGCCAGCTTCTATAAGCCATCCTTGATTTGCAAAGAAAGAAGCCTAAGAACACAGCCCATGGCCTGGGGTGGGCTCAAGTGGACGAGTACGTACCTATCACTCTGCAAGCAGAGGTCCTGGGTTCTATCTCTAGTACCTCAAATAAATAAATAAACAAACAAACCATAATCTAATATAAATAGTTGAAAGAAAAATAATTATTCTTCAAGGAAACCAAGTGTTCCACATGTATGAAAAAGGATAAAGAGATTGCAAATATCTTCCTTTGGAAGAAACAATTCCACATCATGAAGACTACAAGCATAATTTAAAGGCCAAGTGATCCTTTTTAATGAGAGGATCTGGGCATAATCACCTTTGCAAGACCCGCTCGGTGGGCTCCTTTAGACTCCATGTATGCAAGATATTTGTTGAACTCTCGGAACTCCTCCATGGAGGGTCTGAAGGTCATTATCTTACAGCTGGGGTTCAGGGGACTCCCCACCTCTGGCACCTCCATGATGGCAATAGCTGTCTCTGCAAAGAAGAGGATATAGTCATCAGCACTGAATTACTGTCAGCAAATAGCATATAAGCACCCCCAGCTTCACTTGTTAGGGAAGCACAAGTTAGTCAGTACTGTTGGGAGTGTGAAGTGCAGTTGGCCTTATGTATTTGAGTGTTCTGCATCAGTGGATTCAACCAACTGAAGATCAAGAATATCTGAGGCCAGGAGCCCGTGGCTCATGAATGTAATCCTAGTTATTCAGAAGGCAGAGAGATCAGGAGGATCGCCATTCAAAGCCAGCCCAAAAGACCCAATCTTGAAAATACTCACCACAAAAAAACAAAAAAAAAAGAGTTGACAGAGTGACTCAAGTGGTTAAGAGTGCCTGTCTTGCAAGCATGAGACCCTGAATTCAAACCACAGTGCCACCAAAACAAAAAAGGTGGCTGAGTGGGGGGGGGGCACATGCCCATAATTTAAGGCAGGATGATTATAGATTTGAGGCCAGACTGGGCTACACAGTAAGACCCTGTCCCAAAAAAAAAAATGCAACAAATTAGTTGCAATTAAACTTAAGCCTCTGCTTTTGACCTAGTTTACTAACTGGTCTGGAAAATAAACTACGACCCTTCCTAGCATCGCTACTCCCTTGACGACACAAAACTTGTTCATCCTACAAATCAGATACAGTAAAAACCTAGTTAGCTTATATTTTAGATCTTTTTCAATACATGATCATCATAAAATTTAAAATATGTAGGGTTGGCAGAGTGGCTCAAACACTAGAGTGCCTACCTAGCAAACGTCAAGCCTTGAGTTCAATCTCCAGTACTGCCAAGAAAAAAATTTTAAATATGTAGAAATATCAAAAATGTTAACTCCACTAACCTAGATCTTTGCCAATATGAGAGGCAAAAAAAATCTAGTATTAAATTTGTTTCATTATTAATAGCATTGATTATTTTTGGATATTTAAATCATTTTAATTTCTTTTGGGGGTTGACTACTTATGTTCATTCCTCTTAAAAGGCACTTTAGAAGCCAGACACTGGTGGCTCACACCTATTATTCCTGTCTTTTCTCAGACAAATAGCAGTCTGAGGCCAGCCGAGGCAAGGAGTTTGTGAGACCCTATCTCAAAAATACCAAACACAAAAGAGGGCTGATAGAGTGGCTCAAGCAGTAAGAGCACCTGCCTAGCAAGCATGAGGCCCTGAGTTCAAACCCCAGTGGCCCTGAAAATAAAAAAAAAAAGAAGGAAAAATAAATTTTCTGTTCCTTGAAATTTTTCTAATCTACATTTATCATTCTTAGCCTTAATCATGTTATCACAATTCCTAGCTGTTCTCTCTGAATCAAGGATGTATACATAAGCTTAAAATGCTCTCATGGTAATGTTTCCTAGTTCAAGAAAGATTGTCATATTTCCATATTTCTCAAGAAATATAATGCTATGATTTTTCAGCTGCTGGTGATATAGTAATCATTTTTTAACACTACACCTCTTTAGAGTCCCCAAAGTGAATGACAATATCTTTAATGTCAACTTTGTTATTTTGTAAGCTGGCCTTTAATGTTTTTGAGACCCTAAACCAAATAATCACATGTATAGCAAGTACACTGAACTTTTCTATAGTGTTTTTCTTATTGGTTTTGGTTTTAGGGGGTCTCGCTATATTTATTGTTCAGGCTGGCCTTGAACTCTTGACCTAAAGTGATCCTCCTGCCTCACCTTCCCAAGTAGCTAGAACTATAGGTATGCACTACCGTAAGTGGTTACTAAGAAATTTTTAATAAGCTAAAAAAATCACAGTGTGCCAGTGGCGCATGCCACTAATCCTAACTACTCAGGAGGCATTGCAATTTGAAGACAGTCCAGGCAAATAGTTGGTGAGACCCTATCTCAAAAATACCCAACATGGCCAGGCACCAGTGGCTCATACCTGTAATCCTAGCTACTCAGGAGGCAGAGATAAGGAGAGATCTTGCAAAACAGTTTGCAAGAACCTATCTCAAAAAAAAAAAAAAAACCCTTCACAAAAAAGGGCTGGTGGAGTGGCTCAAGGTACAGGCCCTGAGTTCAAGCCCCAGTACCACACACAAAAAAAAAGAAAATACCCAACACAAAAAAGGGCTGGCAGAGTGGCTCAAGTGGTACAGTGCCTGCCTAGCTAAGTGTGAGGACCTGTGTTCAAGCCCCAGTACCACAAAAAAAAAAAAAAAGGTGAAAAATAAAAGCTAAAAATCCTTACCACTAAGAAAAGTCCAGCACTAACTCATACTTTTATAACCCCCACATCTTCATTTCTGAAAATTTTTTACCTTACTGCGAAGAAAAAACATCTACCCTCCTTATTCTAATGATAAAACATCTTTATTTGGTAATTTAAAAAAGAAAGAAAGAAAGAAAAGCTCAAGCCTGTAATCCTAACTATTTGAGAGGTACAGATCAGGGGGATCACAGTTCAAGGCCAGCCCAAGCAAAAAGTTCATGACACTCCATCTCAAACAATAGCTAGGTGCGGTGGTATGCACCTTTCATAGTCAGCTATATATGGAAGCACAAATACGAGGATCACAGTCCAGGCTGGCCCAGGCAGCAAGCAAGACACTATCTCAAAAATAACCAAGACAAAAAAGAGACATGGCTCAAGTGGTAGTAAACTTAGCTAGCACAAAGTCCTTAGTTCAACCCACAGTACTGTCAAAAAGAAAAGAAAAGAAACAGGCTAATGCTTTCCTGCCGTATTTAACATTATATCCTATATTGCTTTCCTTATTCACACTCATATTCTCTTATTTTAACAATTTATTTGGAAAGAATAAAAACTGATGGCTTTCATCTTGTTTCTTCAACAAGGCCTGCCACAGGAGTGGCTCAAGTGATAGAGCACCTGCCTAGCAAGACTGAAGCCCTGAGTTCAAACCCCAGTTTCGAGGCCTGCCATAAAATTGATCTGTACTACTAACTGCCTCTGAAGAACACTTCAGGATCTGCTACAAAGCACATCCCTGTGGGAGATACAACACCCACCAGTTTAGCAGATAATGTATTAGGCTACAGGGAAAAAAAAAAAAAAAAGAACTGAGGCACTAACCACCAGCTGCGCTAGTTAAGATAACAGTCTCCTCCATAGTTCTTCAGGGGCCTGTCCAAACCCTGGAGGTCATCCTCTCCACCCTCATCCACTCCAAAAAAGAAACTGGAGCCCAAAAAAGAAACTGGGCTAACAAAGCTCCTCAGCAGGTTCTATCACCCTGCTCTCCTGCAGTTCATAAGGGCTGCATTCACTCAGGAGGATGGAAGTCAGACCTTTCAGTTCCAGCACAGCAGCTCACTGGGTTTGTTCTCAGAGTGAGCCAAAAGTGTCTGGTCTGCAGACTGCCTCAGTTGGACATTGCTATGAGTTGACTTGTGTCGCCCAAAAAAACATGTTGACACCTAACTCCCATTACCTGTGAATGTGATCTTCTTTGGAAAGAGGGTCTTTGTAGACTTATGTAATCAAGTAAAGATCAGGTCAATTAGGACAGGTCCCAGTTCAATACAACTGACCTCCTTTTAAGAAAAAAAGAGACAGATGGAAACAAGAATACCATCTGAAAACAGAGGCAGAGGTTGGAGTTGTGCAGCTGCAAACCACAGAATGCCAAGCACTGCTGGCAAATATAAGAAGCCAAGAGAAAAGCAGGAAACAAATCCTTCCCTAGATTCTTCAGAAACAGCACAGCACTGCTTAACACCTTGATTTTAGCCTGTAGCTGCCAGGAATGTGAAAGAATTAATTTCTCTTGTTTTAAGCCATTCAGGTTTGGTGATATGTTAAAACATCCCTAGCAAAGTAACACAAGGCCAAGAAGTAGAAAACCATACCCTCCAGCACCAGTTTTATCAGTAGTAAAACTCTAATACTCTGACCTTCCTTCTTACTTCACCTTTCTCAAATGGTTCAAGTCTCGGAGGGAAAAGGAAGTAGCAGGCCACCTCAAGAGCTCCACATGAGCTCACCTACCCAGGTACTGAACCAGAAGAGGCTTTAAAGTTAGGCTGCCCTTTTTCTACCATCACGGTATTCCACATGCCTAGGCCCTAAGTGAGAAGGCAACACAGCCAAGAAAAGCCTTTCCTTCGAGTGTTGATCATGTTTGCCTGCATCAGGCTTCATTTGCCTTCTTAAATCCAATTTTTCTTTAATCCTTCTGTCCCCATTCAGATCACTATTCCAACTTGCTCTCTGGCCTACAAGCACCAGGTAGAAGAATGGAAAAGTGGACTCAGGGAAAAGGTCTTGGGACAGAACAGCCAAAGCAACAAGTGACTATCTGCAAAAATTCCTTTTAGTAATCCCAGCACTTGGGAGGCTGAGGCAGGGGGACTAAAAGTCCAAAGCCAACCTGTACTACAAGCAAGTCCCTATTTCAAAAAAAAAAAAAAAGGTAGGTCTGGGCATAGTGCCTTATGCCTGTAATCCCAGCTACTTGTGAGGCAGAAATCTAGAGGATCAGGGTTCAAGGCTAGCCCAGGAAAAAAGCTAGCAAGATCCCCATCTCAATCAATAAACCAGATGTAATAGTGCATCCCTGTCATTCCAACTACATGGAGTAGGAAGCACGGGTAAGAAGATTGACACCTGAGGCTGCCTGGGCAAAAATAGAAGGCCCTACATGAAAAATACTTGGGTTAAAGATTCTAGACTGGGTCTCAGTAGAAGGTTTTTGAGGAGTAAATATGTAAACTCTCTCCAAGCATCTATACTGGCCAATACATAATTCTCATCACACCCCTCTTAATCCTTGGTGGGCAGAAACAAGAAGTAATCTTTCTAGATACACTGAGAAAGGCTTCCCCTTCTCTTATTCACCAAATATCTGGCATGATTAACAGATCCACAGCATGCAGGCTGCCATTTCTTCTGAGTACAAATGAGAGCCCAGTACAAGTATGTAGAAGGGTGCTGGAACTAGCAAAATTGCCCTAACTGTTCCTTGCTGCTCATTCTTTGCTCCACCTAGCATGACAACTCCTTTC